GTATATATATAACTTATTAGGAAAATACTTGTCCCCACCGCGCATACGCACGCAACTATTCTTAGTAACATACATTACCCAGCAACCAGATCGAACACAGTACCTCACCAATCAATCTGATCAAAGTCACCGCTGCAAACAATGTCGACACACACCATGGAACCCTTGAGCGATGCATGGCTCGAAAGCCTTTGTGCACTGCCACTGGCTAGGGTAGACGTTGGATTTACACCTGTCCAAGTCCGTTTTCCTGAGGGCTGGGTGCGTGTGATAGGCGAGGACAATTGCGACTTCCCGTTACCATGACAACGGACGCCCTCGCTCGTACCAGGTCCTGTCTCACCAACCCTCGAGACCAATGAAAACAACACAGACCGCTTGTTCGGCATTCTCGTTGTGTGGGGAGGTGCACCCGTCCCCACTGCCGCGGGTGGTGTGTGTGTGTGTGTGTGTGGAGTGGTTTGTGAGGCGTCTGTTAGTCTTGTGGTAGCCCTGCTGTCCTGTGAATATCCCTCGTGTTCGTGTTCGTGTTCGTGTTCGTGTTTATGTTCGTGTTCGCTGTCTGTCTCGGGGTTGACGCATGGCGTGGGTGGGCCGTCAAACGGATCGCCTGCAGCCACAACGGAGTCCAGAGACATGGTGATGTCACTCTCGTTGTGTGTATCCGTAATGCCAGGCGTAGTCTCAGTACACTTTGCATTTGTACTAGTGTTCGGAGAGGCGTGTCTGGTGTGATTGGTGCCGTTAAACGGATCGGCGTGGTGGATAAGCGCAGGGCTGTTGTCTTGGCCTTTGTGCACATCCTTGTTCACAGTGTTTCCGGCTGAGCTACTACGGTCAATACAGTTATTCACATCACTTGGGCTTCGATCCTCCGCCCTACCCAGAGAGTGCACGTGTGGCGTGTGGTTGTACTCAACCGGTGGTGGTAGTATCTGGGGCACCGGCGGTGGCTGCAGCTGACACTCATCACTGACATCGGACACGTGCACACCTGTGTGTAGATGTACCAGATTGTGTGTGTGTGTGTGTGTGTCTGTGTGCGTATGTGTGTCTGTGTGCGTATGTGTGTCTGTGTGAGTGTGTGTGTCATGGCTCGGTGTATGCACCGCGCAACCATCTCGCACGCGTTGTTTGTTGAGCTTCTTCCGTAGCCACCCGGCCTTTCTACGCTTCCCGCGCTCTGGCTTGCTGCATCCCTCGACAGCTGTCGTGTCACTCAGCCCTTCAGCTCGGTTGCTATGGGTGTGTGTGATGCGTGTACTATCGGCTCGGTTGCTATGGGTGTGTGTGATGCGTGTACTATCGGCTCGGGTGATATTGACGTGTGTGATGCGTGTACTTTCGGTTCGGTTGCTATGGACGTGTGTGATACGTATACTATCTGGCCCATACTCGCCCGTTGTTCTGCTTTGCTCGTGTCGGGTGCCTGGGTTCACCTGTTTGTGTTTGGCACTTGCGTCATCCTTCGCGTGTGTGGTTATACTACACACTTGCGTAGTATGGGTGTGAGCGTGCACATCCCTGCTGCGCGCACGACCGGCCTCCGCGCGCTGCATGTCGCGCCCACTCGCGCCTTCCAAGCTTTTTTCTGCCTGCACGTTTCGGCATAGCGTGGGCTTATCGCCGCTGTGTGCGCGCGTGGGTCTACTTTGTTGCGATTGGGTGTCCTTGTATTGCTGCATGTCTGTTGTTGTGGTAGTGGTGCGTTCGCTTGGCTGCTGGGTGTGGCATATCTTGTACCGTTTTAAGAGTTCTCGCTGAATCGGGACCTGCAGATGAGAGGCTGGCCCGGAAACCTGTGGGCCGATAAATCGTAGAGTGCAGGGCAATGTTGAAGTTAATAAGAAACGGTCATGTGGTACGAGAACACACACACACACATTATATATATACATGAACATAGATAGACGAAAACAGTTTGCTAGTCTCCTGCTTAGCACCAGGATCGTGGTAGCAGCCTGAAGATTCACCATGCACATGTATATGAATATATTCACACACACACACACACACACACACAC